GTAGGGTGGAAGAACCAACATTTGTTACTAATGGTATCGTATGTATCTCAATGTCCTTTTTCCTTTCTCAGGGACAGGGCAGCTGACATCTCAGATCCCACRCCTGGCCTGCTCCGTGTATCACATAACGTTGAAAGACCTGCCAGCTATGGTTAGGCTGTGGTGGAACAGCTGTGAGAAACGGGTCTTCAACGTCGTAGATAAGTTCACAAGCAAGTACGTCAGCAGCGTGCTGTCCTCCCAGGAAATAGCTTCTGTGCAGACTAGCACCCAGTTATTTAATGGCATGACGGTTAGTAAGACTTTGTGCCCTTTCTTGGTTTCRCCTGAGAATGTGCCGTGTATGACTGTGTTTTTCATATCTGAAGTGACTGAGAATGTAGTTCAGCTTGGTATTAGTGTGTCAAGTTAATGTTGGTACYTACTAATATTCTGTGTTCTGAATAAATCAGGAAAGAGTGATGCTTTTCTTGAATGTTGGAGAAGTTGGGGAGGTAGGTAACAGATGCCACTATCAATATGCTCTACCCTCTTGGTAGTTTTGAACTATATAATCAATTACTAGATGGAATGATGAAWGGCAGTTTCTAGTTAGATTGCCCATATGTGAATGAGCTTTTACTTGCTTTAAATGTATTTTTGGTCTGAGAAAATTATGTAGGTAGTGAAGTATAAGTGATTCATATGTACTAAAAGACCAGACAAGCTGTAATTCTTTCTTCAATGGATTACAGAGYTATTACTTTAATAATACCTTTCTTTTTTYTTCTCCCACAGGTAAAAGCTCGATCTGCTGCACGGGAAGTCATTGCCACTTATTCAGTGGATGATATATTTATTGAACTAATAATACAGCTTCCATCAAATTACCCACTAGGATCCATAACAGTGGAGAGTGGAAAAAGGGTTGGTGTGGCTGTTCAGCAGTGGCGCAACTGGATGCTGCAGTTGAGCACGTATCTTACCCATCAGGTGAGTGTAGAGAAAGCCCTTAATTTTGAAAACAGGAGTCCTGATGATCAAAATATAATCCTGGTAATATAGTATCATTTAGATCTATATAGTTTTATATCTATCTATCTATCTATCTATCTATCTGTAATCTCAGATCTCATCAGAAACACTCTGAGTGCTACCAGGTTGGTCATTTGTATCTTTTTTTTTTTTTTGCCAGATGGTGAAACAGATTGGTAGAATTAGCTGCCTAGTAAATCATAGCAGATTCTTGGCCAAAGCTGAAAATGTAGGTCTTCTATGAGGTAGCCCAGTGTTTGCCATGTGTGGYTCTGCTGTCTCAACTGCAGTGTGGAAAAAACCACAGATCGATACATGAAATTCTCTAAAAGACTGGTAGTGGTTCCCGTTGCATCCTGCATAGTTAGGAAAAGAATTAAGAAAACAGAAAATGACACTTTAAATGTCACCTTTTAAATGTTCTTAATTGCATTCTTTTCATTGATGGATGAATCCCTCATTTTCAGTGATGGATATTTCATATTTCATCTGTTTCTAAAGGTTAAGCTACTCTCAGTCTATAGATCATGGTTGGCTTTGTAAATTACTTGCTGCAGAAACCACCTATAATTTCAGTTAGTCTGAAGGTCTTCAGGTATTGGGTGTATGGTAGGTAACATTACTGGGCCCTGTTCTCTCTTCACTTGTGCTTTTGAATGCTTTGAGGATATTCAGAAGGGACTCTAACGTTAACAGCTGTTTTTCTCTCTGTTAGAATGGAAGTATTATGGAAGGCTTATCTTTGTGGAAAAATAATGTGGATAAACGTTTTGAAGGTGTTGAAGACTGCATGATCTGTTTCTCAGTCATTCATGGTTCCAACTATTCTCTTCCCAAGAAAGCTTGCAGGACGTGCAAGAAAAAGTTTCATTCAGCTTGTTTGGTAAGTAGCCAGGCTACATCCATCTGAATAGGCAAAAAAAATCTATTTAAAACAGTCTTTCTACTGTAATGCCAATTTTCCATCTCGTATCTTGGATGAAATAAACTTATTAATGATTTGCAGGGATTTTGTACTAGACTTTTAAGGACATGGAATGATAAAGGGATTTCTATAATTTATAGACAATAACTATCCCTTTTCTGTTTACTGAAGCACAAGCCAGTACATGCGTGTAGCATGTGTACAGGGTGTAGCAACGGTGTCTTGAATGTCTGCTCATTGAGGGGAATTGTAAAAGGGTCTTGCTCTTCAGTAAACTCGATGGTCTTGATATTTAGTGGTTGACTCTATCAAAGTCATCATAAACTTCAGTTGTACGGTTAACGAGTGAATCTGGAATGAGATGCTGTACTGCCATATGATAGAAAATTATTGATGTGTTTAAAACCATTATTTTTTACTTTCCCAAAATGAGACTCACATGTACTCACATGGAAATTTATTCTTTTTTTTTTCTTTTTTTTTCTCCTTTTTCAAGAGTATTAKTATTATACTTACCTTCATTGGCAAGTAACACTTTGTTGTTAGTGATAAAGCAGATAAAACCAAGAATTTGATATTCAGGTTGTATTTTTGTATTAAATGGTCATATTTCTTTTTCAGTACAAATGGTTCACTTCAAGCAACAAATCCACATGTCCACTTTGTCGAGAGACCTTCTTCTGAAATAAAATGGTGTTTCTGCTTTCTGTGAGCTGACTAGTAAATGAAGAGGARATGTTAAACTGTATGTTGAAAGAAGTGATTACTTCTTTGAAATAATGTCAATTACTTTGACTTCTTGACTAGTGGGCTATGATATATATTTACCTCTGGACTATTTTGTAAAAGTTTAAAGATTCTTCTTTGATACAAAGAAATATATAAGAATAATTTATTTTAATTTGTATATTTTTAAGGTTAAGATATATTAAAAATTCAGAAGTAATGCAGGGTTGTGTCTGAAAAGTGGTATTTAAGCCACAACATAGTTGTTTCAAACGTCTTTTGTTTTAGTTAGATTCAACATGGTGTTATACACTTAAGTCGGATCATGCATCTTAATTCATTCACATGAATTTACCATAATAGCAGGTATGAAGACTTGAGTTTTTGATTATAGTAAATGTATGCTTACAATAGTCTTCTTACAGAGAAAAAAAATATTGCTGTTAAGCATTAAGTTTAAGGCATGGAATTAAGGAATTATGTTAAAGAATAAAACCTAAACATTATCTAAATTAAGATGTTTATACATTGAGCTTACAGACTTTTAACAGTCTGATTTTTTTTTTCTTCCCCACCGCTAAAACCTCAGCCATCCAACAACCTAAAAACATGAGAATTAAATAAGCACAGAGGGAACAAAGTCATTCCTGCATGACAGTGCAAAATGCTACCTATTTACTATAGATAGGCTTTTAAAGAGAAGACTTAGACACTGATTGATTCCTGTGTTTTCATTATTTCAGTTAATGTTTCCACCATCTGCCAAATAAGTCATCACTGAATCTGTCCAGTAACTGAATATAACAGTTGTATTGGAATTTAATGTTGTCTGCATTTCACTATTTTTTCCTTCATTTTTTTTCTTCTTTATTTTTAACAGCAGTAGCATGCTAGTAGATTCTAAGTTGGATGGTATTATTCTGTTCTAGGTTTCTTGGAAAAGTCAATAAAAGGGGAGGAATAAATAAATTTTAGCAGTCTTTGTATTCTCTGAATTATGTCTTCTTCTGTGTGGCAGACTTTCAGAAATTAATATTTCAAATGTTCAGATGATATTTTTGCATATGCTATTATCTATACTTCAACTCCTGATCTTTAGATGCTTAAGTGTTTTCTCAGAATTGGTTACTTTTAAGGAAATGGCTTTAAAACTTTTTTTATTTGTCTGTAATGGAAGTCATGTATTTAACGTATAGCACTTGGTTGCTAAAAGGAAATTCCTCTGAAAGAAACGAATAGACACATTAGAACTTGTGATAAGGACTAACTGGAAACATACACTGAGGAGCACGCTGTGTTGCTTTCGTAACTGCTGATACAAAAACTCTGGAATTGTTTTTCTTCCCTTTTTCAGAAAAGACTCATTGCGAATAATTTCTTTGGTCATCTCTAATTCGCTCCAGGAATAGTGTTGCATTCTCTGCTCATGTCCTAGGAGAAAGGAATAGTTGTGCCCTGGCAAAGGCGGAGCATTCATGCAGATAGAAAAATCTTAAAAGATTTAAAAAAAAAAAAAAAAAAAAAAAAGCAGCTGAAGGTTTACCAGGAAGATGAGGAAGATGTTGGCACCATCACAATCCACTTTTACAGGACCCGTCTGCGTTTACGTGGATTGGATTTTGAATAGCACTTGCACTAAAGTTGCATTCATCAGCATGAGACCTACTGATTCGTGTTTTATTAAGGTATATAAAGATGTTTCTCCTTGTCCAAAAGTTCAGTTGCTAGATAGTCCATCAGAGTTTTTTTTTCTCCTCTTACTATAATTATTCTGCCCCTTATTGTTTGTTCTAAAACCATACATGTTGCTGAAGTCTTGTGAGAGGTGTTGTGATCAATAGTGCTGCATGATTATTTTTTTCATTACTTCTTCCTGAACAAGTTCCTTAGTTTTAATTAAGAGCTAGATTGATTAACCCTCCCTTTTCTGAAACTTGCAGTTTTAATCTACTATGTGCTTTGATTGCATCTAAAAATCTTTTGATGCTGTGATGCTTCTGCAGAGCAGCCTTTTGTTGGTCATAGCTGTTAACAAGATAAAACTCCTGGAGTGATTTATCCACCCAGCATTAAAACTGTGTGAAAACAAAAGCAAAAAAACAAACAAAMAAAAAACCCAAAGCCCCAAACCCCCACCACAATTCTGCATTAAAGCGAATGATTGAGCCAAGAACCTCTGTTTGCTCTCAGAAAAGTTATCTGAAGTGAACACAGAGGTAGTATGATGCACCCAGGACTATGTTCTGCTATTCCTTTGCAGTAAAATACCCCGTTTCCTACCCTTTTAAATGTCTTGTGTGCTCAGAACCTTTTTTTTTTTTTTTCTGATCTCTTAGCAGAGCTTCTGGTAGGTTAGCTCTGCTGAGGGAAGAATTTGTAAAGTTTGGAGTCTTATGTACAAGAGCAGCATGTTTGTTTCTGAAGTCTTACATGGACTAGCCTTTACAATTCTCCAGCAAACTTCTATGAGCTTACTACACTGACAAGAAGGCTACAGTTTATCAGAGTTTAACTTCAGGCTGCGGTTCATAACAACCCGTGAAAATCTTGGAGAATGCTCTCAGAGAGAGCACTAACCAAGGCGAGTAAGGTGCCTCTAGACTTGCTTGTTGCTCTGTGCTGCATGGTGTAGAACAAAGTGTTTTCTGGCAGGACCGACTGCCTCTATCAGAGCGTTAGGAAGAACACCACTTCTTTCTGCTGTTTAGTTAAGTACAGCATAGGTAGAGACCTGCGTTGTGGAACAGGAAAAACTACAGCAAATACATTACCTCAGTAAAACACAAATATACAAATACTTTATTTACTTTAAAAAAACCTTTAGTACTGAAGTGCAAATGCCAAAAAGGCCCTTGAGAGAGAGAGGGCACTTCTCAGTTCCAGCCCCAAGAGCCTGATGGCAGGTGAGAGGACAGCTGTGCTTCTGAGAGCAGCTAAAAGCTCACTGATGCCCCGAATAAACACACRATACCCAGTTGGAGTGGTTTGGCTGATCAGGAGCCGGGAAGTGCGGGTGCACTTCAGAGTGAAAAAAAGTGCGTTAAAAAGTGCGTTGGACAGCTTTAACATTTTATATTCAGCTTTCTGCATACCCAAGACATAGAAGACCAGGAACGGTTTTCAAGACTTCTTGAATTTGAGAATAGTAAGCATTTCTCTTCCTGCTTGCCTGGAAAGTGCTTTAGTGCCTTCTAAGCCATATTTCTTCATTGTTTCCAGAATTTCGTCTGTAATTAAATGTGCAGCGTTACAACCAAGCTTCCATTTGAATCACCTCTAAAAAGCAGTGCTAAACTACTTGCCAAACATAACTTAAAATCTTTGCCTTGCAGCTTATTTCATCTTACTCTTTCAGAGAGTAGTTTTGTGCAAAGTAGTCTTTTACCAAAAACAAATAGACTTTACTTTCCACTAAAGTACTGTGCTTTGGCATTTGTTTCAAATGTTATCTTGCAGCAAGTAGTTCAGTTATGAAACTAATTTATAAGAGAAGCAGCTTTGAGAGATGTGATGAATTGCAGCCTCATCAGCTGTGAATGAGTAATCTTGAAGTTTACTTCAAGTGAAGCATAAGATGCAGAGTGCAGAGGCTATAGGAAAACTACGAAATCTCTTCCATACACCATTCCAGAAGGAAACAGTTCTCACTTTCAAACTAAGGTATATAACATTTTCCCCTTCCACCCCCTRGAAACCCTTTTTCATGACAAAGGACTGCTTAGCTACCTCTGTCAGAAGAAGATAAACGGCCAGGTTTCAGACCTGCAGCCAGTCTTGTAGAGCTCTTGGGCTCAGGACCTACCTATTACTTTTCATCCAAAATAAATTACAGAGCAGTGAATTCTAAACCTTTACCACGCACAGAATCCTCTTTCATGAGAAAGGATTCAGAGWGGCATCAAATTATGCAAAGGCCCTCTGGAGATTAATCACCTTAGTAACTTGAAAGAGGAGCACGATGCTCAGTAAGGGTGGGCATAATTTATATGAAGTACCCAATAAATATGAGCTACCAGTAGCACTCCTGAACAATTAACACAGAACAGCTTCTGTGTGAATATTAATACCTGCTGTCATTTTTAAGTGACTGCTATCACCATATATTAGATGAAAATGATGTCACATACTTTTTTTGTTTGCTAGTCAGTCTGGTAACTTACCAGAGGAAATCTAGTTTGGCACATTTAAAATCTGAGGATCTGGGAAAATGATCACCTGGATTGTTTTCTCTAATTGTGACCAAGTAGAATAATCCTTCTGTTGAGAGCAGGTCTGCTACTAATGGAAAAATCTTGTCCATTACTTCCCGGCCATTTTTGCCACCAGCCCAGGATGCCTCTATTCCGTGACTTCCCACCTAGGAATAGTTGAAGCCAAAATTGTCTTACTTAATACAGAATGACAGAAATGATAATGGTAATTTTACGAGAAACACCACCATAGCTTCTACCTTTAGCTGTCTGCCATTACAAATCTGACAATTTTAATTCAGTAAAATTACTTTTTATTCATCAAAAAAAAATTCTGCAAGATGCTACTTCTAACTGAAAGCTGTAATGTGACTGTATTATATACATTTTTCTTGTAATATTTTGTTCAAAGATGATCAGTAAACTGTTTCTATGTTTTGCTGATCAAGTTTTGAAAAAGTCAGAAATCTGTGGAAGTAGAGGATATTTATTTTGCAGAAAAAAAAATGCATTTTGCATTGAAGGACTTCTGCCTTATTAAGACTTATTAGTAAAAACTATACTGTTCATACTTAATGGAGAAATTATGTTTTGAGAAGCAGCAGCTAGTGATCCTTCTTCCCATTTAGTCTTCCTATGCTATAATAACCTTAGAAACACTAAGAAGCTCTGAACTCTTTTGAAAACAGTTGTTACAACTCCTGGCTCCACAACACCCTTTACTCTGTTTTAAAAATACTACAAATTAAGGAGAAGCAACTGAACAACTGCAAGCTCAGTTTTCATACCAGAACTTATTTTATTTACTGTGTACTCCAATAYCATAAAGGCCATTTTGCTTCACATTGAAAGTATTTTTTCCTACCTCTTCAGAAGGTGTTACCACATATGGTGGATTAAACAGCAGGAGATCAACTTTTCCATTTAATCTTGGTGCCAATCCTTTGACCTACAGATGAAATTGATGGTTCCTTATTTTCTTTGATATATACAGAAGACAAACATTTTGTAACAATAAAGTTATACAGTACTAGATATTTGCTTATGAATTTAAACAGCCACAAAGATTAACTTAAAAAAAAAGCCAAAWGAAAAGCAAAATCTGTGGCATTAAGATGCCAATCATTCAAGATTATTCAGAGAAGAATGAAAAATTCAGATCTGTAGAGAATAACTAGAAAGTAAATAATAAAATTTTTAATACTTTTTTTTACAATAATAGTTACAAATTGTCTTCTATGTGAAAATAAACTACTAAGTTGTATGAAATCACTAGTCTTCTAGAAGTCCAGTTCACCTGTCTCTTTTCTAGTCTTYTATGTCACCATTCTAGAAAGCAAGCTGTTTATCTGTGCTACATGTGTCCAGTTATGTTGGATTAGAAATCAATTTGAATCTTCGTCTCTTGCAGGATCTGTTTTGCTTGTAGATTTTATGGCTACTTTGGATATTGATGTATGTAAGTGTACAGGTTACAGGAGTACCTCTTGAAGAATACTGTATTTTATAAATACTGGCATAATACACAAAATATTACTGCACCTCATTTATATCTTCATGTATATATCTGAGAAGACTAAAGTATAGGAAAAAAAAATTAAAAAACAATATTACAGAAACATGTATCTTACCAAGTCAGTAATTATAGGCTGAAGTTGAACATTATTAATCAGGGCTGTCTCCAGTGTACAGTAAGCTGCCATAGGATTGATATCTGTACACCTGAAAGCAAAACGTTATTGACTGCTGTATCTGCAAACTTAACAGTGGAAACTGTTGCTAAYGAATGAGTACTCTTCACTGCAAATAACGCTTCCCAGTACCCTTTACTTTGCAAGTAAAGAAGAAAAAATATCCCATAAAAACATACAAAGTGTATCAGCAGCTACACCATTAACACTACAGTTAAACTATTTAATTACATTTTTTCCTCTCCTATTCCCAGTATAATAAATCCATGAAGAAATACTTACATAAATTCCCATTCCACTTACAATGGGTCGTTTGGGAAGTTTGGGCTAATTTACCAGACAAGTTTATTTTTAAAAGAACAATTTTTCAATTCAAATTCAGACAACAGAAATTGAACAAAACTTAAAATCCATCTGCTAGAGTAAGGAAGAAAACAATTGTTAACTCTGAGTAAATTATTGTACCCAATGTATGTGCTTTCCAAAACATTATTCCCCAAATTGTACTTTTCAAACCTAGATGAGAATATTTTGTGAAATCCAAAAGGATGAAATTTATATTGCTGTCTAATGGACTGTAACATCAAGTTATCTGACAACCAAATACCTACCTTGTACCTTCTTAAACAGTAAAGCTAGAATAGATATTAGGATTTTTTATTAAATAATTGCCATCCAAACACTGAAAAGAACACATCACATTGGTTCTATGGTTTCTATGCATTCATATAATCAGATTCATATACACATTATGAAAAGAGAACATTAAGACTCATTCAACCCAGCAAAAAGTCTAGGCTGGGGAAAAGTGAATCCKACCACTACTGAATCACTGCAGAACCCTAAGTAGTTTTGAATTTGTCTGCTTGGATTTCAGCATCCTGGAAAATCAGACTAATATTTCGCTGTGAAAAAGGTTCCTTTGAATAATGATTAAAGTGCAAAAATAATATTGTGAGTGCAAAATATTCATCATTATTAACAGTTTAAGTGCTATTATACTTGCATATTATGCTTACTGTTACACTTACATGTAGAGTGCACTGGGTCCAATAATGGAAGCCACAAATGTTGAAACCACACCAGATCCACATCCTATTTCAAGGCAGATCTCAACTCTAAATGTGAAGAGAGAAAGCTATGGACACGTTTTCTGTAACACTTCAGAGCACCTCCACCGAACAGGCACTGAATTAGTCAAGGCAGCACTTAAAAAAAGACAAAGCACCAAACTTCACCCCAGCACACCAAAACACCTCCTGATCACACTATCTGCAAAACCTGTGTGGTGGGACCTGGTTTACAACTGCCTGAGCCCACAGAACAAGGACAACTCCAGGCTTTCTGAAGCCTGATCAGAAACCACAAATGTTTCCCCTGTGCCTAACAGAAAACTTTCACTAACTACACAATACAGAGTACTTTCACTGCAGTAAGGTTGAACTCCAGCAGAAGTCATGGAAGATCGGTGTGAAACCACACAGAAAGCAGGGCTCAGGTGCACAAGGCTCATTCACAGGCTTTGGGGCCAAACTCTGGACTGAGTAGCAAGAGGACAGTTCATAATACATGCTTGTAAGAGCATTTCCTTGACAATTCTTATGGCATTTATTACATAAATGCCATAAATGCTCACTACAGTTACATACAGTTACATAAAACCATTTTAGCAGAGAGGATGAAAACCTGTGGAGAAGATTTGCGCGCCATTTGGGCTCTAATTTGGACATTCCTACCAGTTCCCACCCGKCCCGGACCCGCCCGCCTAGTGAAAGGAGCCGTTACCGCCCAACCGCCACCGCAGCCCACGTGCCCACATCGCCCCCAGCCCCGCCTCTCCCCTCCTATTGGCTGCCGCCGCCGAGGCCCCTCCCCCGCCGTACCGAGCGTCCCGGAGCTGGGCCGCGTCGCGCTCCAGCGCGTCCAGCAGCAGGAAGGTGTCCTCGGCCGGCTCGTACACCTCGCGGAACGGGCCCTGCGCGCCCACGTGCCCGTAGCGCGGCGTGGGCAGCGCGGGCGCCGCCATCACCGCGCGCGCACCCTCCTCCTCCGGCACCACCAGGGCCCCCTCTTGCCCACGCGGGAGGAGGCGGAGGAGGAAAGGGGCAGGGTGGAGGGCTTCTCGTAACGCGCCTGCGCGCCACCAATCYACCAATGGGAGGCAGCCTCCTCCACCGCGCCCCGCCCCTCATGTTGCTCGCGGAGAGCGGCCGTTAGTAACGGTCTCTGGCCGAGGCKGCGACGGGCAGTGATCGTTGATGCAGAATATGTTTGGAAGAGACCTTCAGGATCATCTAGCCCAACCGTTAACCCCTCATCACCATGCCTGCTAAGCCGTGTCGTCAAGTGCGTCATCTACACGTTTCTTGAGCACTGCCAGGGACTGTCAGTGACTCTTCCCACGGCAGTCTATTCCAATTCTGCACTGCTATTTCTCTGTAGAAAGTTCTTCCTAATACCCAACCTGAAGATTCCATGAGAGAGCTTCAACTTAAGGCCGTTTGCTCGTCCTATGGGTAGTTATTCAGGAGAAGAGACCCACCTCTGCCTCACTACAGTCTCCTTTCAAGTAGTTGTAGGGAGGGTAATGCCTCTCCTGAGTCTCCTCCAGACTAACAACCGCAGCTCCCTCAGCCACTCAGAACTTGCAGGAAACCCAGGCAGGGAAGCAGGGGTACCCTCACTGAGAGGAGTCGAGGGTGTGATGGTTTCTGTGGGGTGTGTGTGGCCCCCACATGGCTGCTTTCAGTAAATACCTGTGTGGAATTTTCATACTTAAGCTTTTAGTGCTTTTGTCTTGTCTTTTCCTGAGGAGTTAAGCTATTCTAACTGTATTTGGCCTAGTCATCCCTAAAAATTCATGTGAAAGGAATATGAACTACTTAACTCTTGCATATTATTTTTGTGCGATTAAATTCCAAAGTTACTCCTTGTAACTCCTTGTTCATCACCTTTTCATGAAAATTTAGTAGGAAGTCAAACTGAAGAGAGGCAGAAATTCTAGAGGGAGGCACATAGAGGAAAGATCTGTATTGTGAATAAAGTGGTTTTTCAGTTACRAAAGAAAATGTTTCTCGCTTGTAATTCTTTGCCAGTGACAGCTGACAAGAACCTTAGGTCCAACTAGGCAGCTGCAATATTTGAAGGAAAATAGAAAGTTCACGAAACTGAGGAATGAAGGGAAATTCCCAGGCAAAGGGCAGATTAGTGTTTTGCTCTCCATAGCAAAGGACAAATGAACAAACAAATTCTGATCCAAAGGACAAGGAGAAAGAGGGAGGGAAGGATGTTCTAGTTCCCAGGATGTGGGTGTGTGTTTAGTTACTGAATACCCAAGATCTGAGAATGGAACAAATATGTGGAGTGAAGAAAGAAAAAGGTGAAGCTAATGAATAGGCCAGGATCTTAAAACACTGTTTTAGTAATCATTTCAAAGCTTATCAGCTTTTGTGAAAAAGTACATGATTAATCCATTAAGTTAGTATTTGTCGGTTTAAGGCATTAACTCGAGGACTCTGTCACTTGTTTGTCAGCCTCCATTTTTGGCTCTGGAACTGGGGGAACATGAGTAATCTTTCTCATTTGTAAAAAGGCAACTCTGTCTACCACTATGTGGATCCTAGGSCCTGAAAATTATGATGTTGATTTCCTCTTAAGTGTTGATTTCCTCTAAGTATTTTTAATAGATAAACAACTGCCTCTGTAAAATAAAGGATGTCATCCATTCCTATAGAAGAATGGTCTGATTTTTTCCAGCAACTCATAGTTTGTAAATTCGGCTCGTTTAGAAGCTACTTTACATATTTCTGTATTGTAGAGTAGCTTTGCATAGCAATACAGGCACTTAATGCTGAAAGTTCAGAGATCGTTAAACCACCTACACGTGTGAGAAAARAAGAGTGTCATCAAAGTACTTAGTCCTTAAAGTAACCAGAAATTTGTTCAGAGAAATTCTCGAGTATTTGTAGAGAAAGCACTATGCTGCCCACACTATAGGCAGACAAGAAACAAAAATCTGAATAATCTCTGTGAGTTTTATACAAATGAAAATTCCTTTTATAGTGCAGATGGGGAGATTTGTTTTATCTAATCCAAGCATGTAACACCAGCTCACCCACCACACACCTGGAAGACCCAGCTAAGATCTCACTGTAACCACCCCCCTCCTTAGACCTGCCTTTAGCTGCAGCTCACCTTTGTGCTTCCAAGCAAAGTCAGCACCCTGTTCCTCTGTGTAAACGCAAATGCCTTGTCAAGTAGCCCGCAGGTGTTTTGGAGAATCACAATTCATATATCAGAAGTACATGCAAGCTAATATGTTCCATAAGCAGAAAATGAGTCTGTTCACAAATCTATTCTAATACAAGTAATTCTTTCTTTGAACTTACGTATCTTTAACTGCATATAATATTCTGTGAGATCTTACACTGGTTAGACTTTTCTTTACTAAAGCCACCTTGTCCAATGCAAAATAAATTTATCATGTCTCTGTCATAATGAAGGTGATAAGAATTTATCTGCATTCCCTAACTTCTCTTGTTGGTCAATGCAGAAGGATAGGTTGCCCTAGGGGACAAAAGAGCAGGACCCAAACTAGAAGGAGACTGTGSATCAGTTTTCTAATGTAAAGGAAGATACAGTAGATACTCCTTTATTTCATCTGTCTTCCTAGCGGTATCCTTCTGTGCCAGAGGAACAAATACTTGTAAAACATGCTAAGTTTGTATAAAATTCCAATTACTTTGGCAACATGAAGTCATGTAAGAGACAGAATTTTGCACTCTGTCCATGTTGGGCCAATTCTTTGGGTATGTTTTTTTAATCTCTACAGGTGGCCAGGCTTCAGACTGCAGTAGGAGGAATGACTTCACCATCTCCAGCTGTACTGGTTGTTATTTTTGGCTATTTTACACCTTATGAAATCTGGTTAATTATTATTATTATTATTTTTAATACTTACAAGTCCTTCTGGGTGAATTTTATAAAACATTTATTTTTACTGCTTATATAACTACCTAAAATGTTTTTCTTGGTAGATGACTTCACTGTTTTTGCCAAGATGGATTCTATTTCAATCTTTAGAAATAGTTGGAAAGTTAATATTCCCATTTTAATGGTGCCTTGGCCAGGTTATTAAAATAGGCTTTATAGAAATGAAAAGTTGATCTTGACAGGAATCATAAGCATTTATTTACACTAATTAAGCGCTGTGGCCCAAATGTATCCCATTTGGAATTCAGCACTGTTCATCTCGGAGATACTTAACCCGTATCTTAGCTGCCTGCCAGCCTGCCGAGGTCTCCATCGCAAACTTCTCAAACATGGCTGTTTTGGGCCATTTTGGGCACGGATCTAGGTCTGGAGGGGAAAAGTGAATGTGTGAGGAAATGGAGCTCCCGGGATCCCCGCAAGGACACAGCTATGCAAGATCGCAGAACCACAGAATGGTTAAGGTTGGAAGGGTCCTCTAGAGACCATCTAGTCCAACCTTCCTGCTCAAGCAGGGTCACCTAGAGTATGGGGCACAGGGCAACATCCAGGCGACTTTTGAAGACCTCCAGAAAAGGAGACTCCACAACCTCTAAGAGATCTCCAAGAAACCTCCTTACCTAAGAAACCCAGCAGGCAACCGCATCACTACAGTCTCTATCTTAAACTGAGCAGAGGCCTTCATAAAGCTCATCTTTCTTGCCCTTGGTATATCTACTGAAAGGCTGTTACGAAACCTCAGTGCTCTGATAATCAGAAACCTTCTATTTCCCTTCCTAGATGTGTCAGAAGGCTTTATAGCCACTTACTTTTCTGGCACCATTGTAATTCAAATTAAGCAGTTGTTTCAACTGCTGGCCATAAGCTGGAGCACAGGAAGTTCCGTCTCCAGGTGAGGAGGAACTTCTTTACTGTTAGGGTGACAGAGCAGTGGAACAGGCTGCCCAGGGAGGTTGTGGAGTCTCCTTCTTTGGAGGTCTTCAAAACCCGCCTGGATGCCACCCTGTGCCACATGCTSTAGGTGTGCCTGCTTAAGCGGGAAGGTTGGACTAGATGATCTCTAGAGGTCCCTTCCACCCTTAAATATTCTGTGATTCTGYTTCCATAGTGTTTGCTTGCATTTATAGAAAAAGAAAAGCACTCATCAGCCTGTGCTTTGCTGGACCAGATAAGCTGTTTTTAAAGATACCATAAATAAGAATAAGAAGCTTTCTTATTCTTATAAATAAGAAATAAGAAACTTTCTTAATCTCTCTTAACCCTCGTTACCTTCCATATATCTGTCAAGTATGACTTCACTCTGTATATGACTTGTAGACAATACTCCAGGTAATGTCTTACTGGAGCCTTATGGGTCTTTCCCGGTACATTCCAGGACTGTGTCTGCATTTTCCTATAGTCATCTAGCAAGATGTAATGCCTTTGCTATTGTGGCCAAAATCATCATCTTTTTATTATTTTTAATTGTTATTCTAGCTTAAGTGTAAAGAGGCCCGGAATCTTTCTCTGTTGTCTTTTTGAAGATGTTTGCCAAAATTTTTGCTCTATGTTTTAATATCTTCATAAAAGATAATTCAAACTGATTTTAGCAACTGTCACATTACATTATGTTTTCTGATTTCTAAGACATTGAGGTTGTATTTATCAATCTTTGTTTCTATCCCTTTTTGACATTCTGTTCGTAATGCTTGAGCTATGGTTGAGTTAGGTCTGAAGCTTTTTCCTGTGCATTCACTCTCATTCTTCCCCCTTTGACCTGAATGAAATATTTTCAATCCTTTGACTATAAAGTATTATACAAAATTATATATATATATACACACAAATATATATACAAAAATTATACAAAATTGTACAAACCTCTTCCATGTTTAAATTCTCAAATCCTATATGTAGTCTCATTGGTTTCATTTACTTACTCTCTTAATCACCGAAGTTTGTCCTTTACAAATAGTGACTTCTAGTTAAAGACTTTTGTTTCTCCTTTTGTTTAATTATGTTTAATTACTTCTTGGTCATTCATGCAAGATTATTTTC